GAAGGAAGCAGTTTCCCTGGTGAAGAGAACATTTATATGGCGGCTGAAGCTACTTTGTAGGGATCCATCGCGAAGGTCGCTTCAACAAGCATGTGCATCGGTAAAATTGACTCCAGGAATTATAAAATACAGGCGCCTTTTTAAAAATATATCACGTTTGCGTTTTTTCATATTTAATGTCTAACCTTTAATCCAATACGCCGTGATGGCACAGTATTACTGCAGTTAAGGTGAACGAGCGATCACTAAAACAGGATTCCGTCTAGTAGAGGAGACCATAATCAGAGGTTATGATAATGTTACAGAGATAAGTGTGTTTTGTATTGCAACGAAGAGGAATGTGTGAGATGTAAAGGTAGATGAGATTACGCCATCTCACGGCGTCCGTTCTCAGCGGCTCTTGACTGCATGAACGAAGGGTCTGCTATAAGGGGAGTTATATTACCGTCTTCTTTGATTAAGCTGGGGTCAGATACCCGGTCTCCAGCAGCTCCCACGTAACTTCATTTCTGCCTAGAGCTATCTTAGAGCTGGCGGAGCTGAATTTGTTATCTTCCTCCACAGTGTGGGTATCGATCTGAGAGTGTGGGCTGCCTCTCTGCGCTGCCCCTTTGTGCTGAATTATCCGCGGATTAGGCTGACGTCCTTTATAGTGGCGAACATAATTACAGCGCGCAATTTTATAAACTAAATCAGATTTCGCATCTGCAACCAGTTGGTCCTATATTTATATGATTTATTTACACATTTAGTTGTCAGACGATTGGCAATAACCACACGGAACTCTGCAGCGGTACGTTCTTTTGTTTTCGATGCATTCCTTAGGGTATATACTGTCGGTGGTTCTCCTCCTCCGAAGGAGATGCGACCACTGAAACAAGAGTTTTATTTTCCTGACGTTAAGGATTCTGTCGAGAATATTTAATGTTAGGTAATTGTAGAAAAGTCTTCGCATGTTACAGACTTTTCTACGATTAACTATGATTAAGGATCCTCGACAGAATCCGAAACGTCAGGAGAATAAAACTCTTGTTCCAGTGGTAGTATCTTGTTCTTCTGAACTGCTTCCTGGAACTCGCATATTCACTTCTATTGGTTCTCCTCCGTTTGTTTTCTGTACGGAGGTCCTTGGTGAATTAACTGCTTGTTGGTCGGGTCGTTGCCGTTGGGTCCTGAAGATGCTGTACATCTAGCACTCATTCCTTCGGCGCACTGTGGTGTTTTATTTATCTATTGGAAACAAATTTTAGCATTCGCAAATCAAAAAATATTTATAATAAGACGGCTTAGTGGATACAGTAAAGGTAAACATGTTTACTGATTCAGACAATGTATCTACGTTAGACCGTTTGAGAGTGTACCCTAGAGATTAACGTCCGAGATCACGGCAGCTATGATAAAGAATCGTGTAACACTAAGTAAACAGTCGTTCCAATCGACAGTGCCAAATAACCTAATCTGAAGTGAATTAAGTAAATAACTCTGGCGGCTGGTAAGTTGTATGCAGGGCTAGCTTGCATAAAATATGGGTGCATCCCCGTCAAGTGGGTTAGGTGGTATTTTCTGAAAATACTGGCATATTATTAAATAAATTTGTTACCAGATACACCGTAATTAAATAGTTCTCCTTTTATCTGCACGTACACGCAAAAACTGCAATGTAATGCCCAGTTGTGGTGAGCAGAACTGTTACAAAGTCTTCAATGTTCCAGCCAGTAACAATAACTTCCAATGTCTGCAGCATTTGCTGTCCAACAGGTGTTCACTTAAAAGGGTAGACTATAAAAGCATTTTCTTATGATCGCTTTAAAAGGTGAAATCTAACACGCAAGATAGGTGTTATTTAGAATGATAATTGCTTTTACATCATATGTGCACCTTTTTTCAAATAAACCGCTTGAGCAACTTCGCATTTATCTGCTTTCTACAAAAAAAGGTCCAGTTGAGGCCCAAGGTCAAATCTACATTGAAGAACCAAGTGGTGTGTTGGATCGCGTTTTGGGATCAAATGTTTAACAAATTAAATTAAAAAGTTAATCCTTTCCACAATATTTTAGTTAACATTTTAAATCTCGTAAGTTTTGGTAGCGTGGTTGTACACCAGCCGTACGGTCATTTAAAAATGTGACTTTATTTGTTTGAGAATGTCACTGAAATAATATTTTAGCTATTCTGTTAGTATAGACCTGTAGTATATACAATTTTATTCAAAGACTTTAGAAAGACAACTTAAAAGTTAAGTCGACGGTACGCTTATGTGACATAGAACATATCCTACTTCCAGCGTCATTGCTACGTCAACATGCCAAACGATATTTTGAGATCATGCCTGCTGACTTACATTTGAGGCCCAAACTTCGGGTGTAGGATGTCGTTCACATGCTTGAATTAAAACACTTAATACAGTAGATTTTGAAGTCTGAGTTGTATGCAGATCACTAGTTCGCAAAGTAAGCCTAGCAATTACTTATGCGTGGAATCCCTTTGCAAAAACAAACGTTCAATGCATTTACGTTACTCTCAACTTCCACATCCACCAAATTCGGATAACGACTAAAAAAAACCATGGCCCTTGCAATTGGGCTTGTGTTTCGTGAACTACAAAACTAAGTAGACGCATCTGTGTCATCCACATATGTTAGTTACCCATTCCGGGCTTATCAAGTAAGGCGAAACGCTTGTTCTTCGACGATCAAACATGATTCCATCATGCACCCTTTATACATCTTCACCTGTTCTGGACTTTTGTGGGCGATCCGAACATGATTTTCCTAACCCGGCCAACAATTTGTAAATTCTTTCTTGATTTTGAACTTCCTTCTGGAGCATTTCAGTTGTTTCTGCTGCTTTTTTCTTTAACGGAAACCGCATGTGGTGACGCTAAGTCGCTATTTATGTGTTTTGACTTCGAAGCTGGGTATAAAATATTTTTTCCCAGTATTTTTTACGCCGCTTTTCGCCTGTACGTAAAAAGGTATCTTTTAACGTCGTGGGCTATAGGCACATGTTTTGATAGAATTGGGAAAAAAGAGAGAGGGCAGAAGCGAAGTTTGGTAAACGTTCATCACTTCTAATATTACGATATGTCGAAATACGTTCGGCCTTATTCTTTAGGAGTGGTCCGATTTCGTCTCCTGATCTTTTATTAAAAGGGGAAATGTTGTAATATGTGCCAGTCATAAAACCGTTGATTCATTCTTCAATAGCCGAATGACTGAAGAGTCTCCTGTACGGTGGATGTTTACTCAAAGAGACGGAGTACAGTACGTGTGACATAAAGCTCTGGTAGAACAGTCCGGACATCATGAGAAAGTAGAATTCCCTGATCATATGATTATATTGCTAAATTGTTCTATAAGTAAATGAACAATTGTGCGATCATAAACTGGCCACGTGATAGATGCATTAAGTGTGCTTTTATTATGATAATGTTAGTGGCCTCTTAAAATAGCCATGTGGTCGATGTGGTAGACTAGACCAGGGTACGCCATGCGTTATTTGGTTTGCGTTCCCATAGCAAAATACCCAACATTGGGGAGGCGTGTTGATACGCGTAGGTGCAGGCCCATGCTAATTCATTCACATATCCCCAATCTCATCTCCGGTCTTCTTGACTCAGTATTAACACCAGCCACAGGTGTGCGAGGGAACAGAAAGTGTTGTATATGCAATGCAATTATGTTATCAACTAAAAAATTCACGTGTAGGCAACATCCCTGCAATACCCCACCATCGAGTATGCAGTTAACCTCGTCTAAATCGGTGGTCGGACTATAAAGATTCACAGTCAGTAAGCATTAATTGAAGTGTCGGTACGTAAAGGCAAACGATTTTAGGTATAGAAGGTTCAAGGGAGCGTGATATTCACTCCAAAAACATGAACAAAAACACTTTGTGCAGTCAATCTCCAGATCAGGTAACACAAATGTGTCGTTTACGTAAGTCAACATTGCTAACGTTTACCATTCACTTTAAGGCCCAGTTTATTTATTTTACATTTACCTATATGAAGTGGGTATGCTTCGTACAGCTAAAGTTTTATAAACCAAACAGTCCGCGGTATCGCATTTGTTTATGATTTTTTGAAAACCCAACTCCAAATATCGTGTAATACTTCAAACGTTGTATTCAGTGGATAAAGATAGTGAGTGAAAATTTTCAAAGGACAATCACGTCGCCCGTTCTTCGACCAAAAAGCGCAATTTGCACGTTAATAACTTGTTGACATTAACGGATAATGTTTATCCAATTAAGGGATTCCTGACCTCAACCATTCTCCGGTCGTGTTCCATATGTTTGGCGCAAATCAGGCAAGAATCACGCAACCTTAAAAGGTCATATTCTAACACTTTTTTGTCGAAATGGATGCCAACGTCATTAAGCGGATGTTGTGACCTGATCATTCGAAATCCAAAAAATGCACCACGCGCCCTGTTTAAACTTGACCAATCAAAGGAAGGTCGATTTGATGAAAAACGAATTAACTTGTTTTAAGAAATGTTTCGACAACTCTCCGTTCGCTATTTATCTTACATTATGTAAATGAAGGACGACGAGAAAAGCATGGCATTGAAATCCTTTCAGGGGATTGGCAAGGGAAGTTCTTCGCGAGACAGAGGGGCCTTTCGTCTCATGACTAGTCGTCTTAGTGTTGCCTAAGGTCTGTGAGCTACGCCAATACCCAGTGGTTGTAACAGGCGAGCGACTGCTTCGGAAATATTCTCGATGAATGGCATTGCTCTCCACATTTTCGGTTGTTCCATCAGTGGTCTTGTAGTTCGTTTCGGTTGTCTGCTGTGTTCTAGGAAGCTGCGAGTGTAACCACTGGAGATGAATATCAGCCGAAGATAGCTAAGTTCTGTCATTTTGTTACCTGTCTCGTTGCCATGTGTTTCTGCCCTTTTGTAGAGCGTTCGCACACAGCTGCGTTTGTGGCCCAACGAATGGTTAATTTGGTAACTGAGTGCCTGATGTTTGTCGGTTGCCCTTCGGCTTACCGTCTACTTTAGGTTTCCGTCAGTCTCACGGTGGACGAAGACGTCTAAGAACGCAAGTTGATTGTAGACCTCAGCCTCCATTGTGAAGTGAATACCGGCAAACACAGAGTTCAGAATCGTGAGAACTTCAGAAACCATTTCACTCTTGAGGATGGCGAAGGTATCGTCTACATACCGAACCCAAAATACTGGTCTATATTTTGTAAAAACCAATGACTTTAACTTTTGAAGGACTGCCCCAGCAAGGAAACCCGATAGCGGTGAACCCATCGGAGTCCCTTTGATTTGTTCGTACACCGTGCCCTCAAAGGTAAAATGCGTGTTGAGACAGAACTTGAGCAGTTGGATTAGGAGCTCACGGTAGACTTATTTTCCCCTCCTTATATCGGCTCTCCAGTAGAACACTCACAGTTTCAATCGCAAGAGTCTGAGGAATTGAGGTGAAGAGTGAGATAACATCAAACTATACCATGACTTCGTTTGCGTTGAGGTGTAGCCCATTAAGTCTTCCAAGAAATGTACGGCCGAGCCAACGTATCTTGACGTAGTCTTCGAAAAAGGTAAATTACTCAGCCAGAGGGCACCCAAATGTCTAATTAAAGAGCTATTTCAAGAGGGAACATGTTATAAAAAGCCTTTTAAATGATACTGGGCATATTTTCGCCGAATTCTGCTGCGGGCTTTATTTCTCTTGGCAATTTGTTGACAAATCTGGGTGATTCTAAAACCATGAGCAAAACAGACAGGCGCATTATAAAGAAATGCCCAAAAACTCACTATTTAGGTAAATGCTTTTAAAAAATATCTTATTTTTAAGGTTTTGGTAAGTGCGTGGAATATCTTCCTCATGTACGGACCATCGATTGAATTCACTGAAAATCGTAGTGTTGCCAACCATTTGAAGAACGTTTTGAACCTAGTCGTAATCAAAATCCCGAAATAGTTGCAAGGAAATGTCCCGAAAGGAAATGTTTCTTAGTGTGCGTAATAAGTTCGTTTAGGATTGCACCTGAAAAGTCCATTTAAATTTTTTAGTCACTGACCAACATTTCTGCACGTGAGTTCACAAACTATCTTACTCTTGTGACCTAATCGGCGCAATCAAGCAAACATCTGGTTGCCTTAGTCTAGCGTAACCCCAGCAATTTATAAATGAAAGAAACAACTAGAAATTTTCATGAAAACGTGTTAGAATACATACTCGAACTTTGGGGTGTTCGATACCAGCCACATGTTACATTGCGTGTAAGATGGAATCATATGTATCCGAAAGTTGTACAAAGGTATTATTTTCCAACAAAATACAACTTATGCTGCTTTATTCACTCGCATTTGCACAATCGGGCTTCTTGTTAATGTAAAAATTAATTTAACCTAGCACGCCTCATCTCCACGTTTTCAGACTTTTCGAATTTTCGAAAAAATGTTCATATTTCTAAACAACGTGATATAAACCGCTTTAGGCGTCATTTCTATGTACAACCATTACTTTGCTGCTGCAATACTTTGGGGAACGCGATGTGAGCTGTGTTTGTGTAACAGGGATTTTCTTGTCCAAATCTTTGTATTTCAGAAGTAAGCCCAGCTACTGTAGTATTTGGCTATGTATTTTAAATCCTAGACCTACATAACCTACACTTACCCGGATTCATATCTATCTGTATATCTATTCTAACGAAAACGCTGTTGACTATCTACTGCGTAGGCTCTTATAACAGCAGTTCGATGACCATACAAATGTTGACCTGGCTTGTGTAACGAATATCCGAAATGTTCCTCTGACTCCTTCATTTTGTGGGAAAGTTCACTTTGCCTGCTGCGCTGAAAAATTCAACGACTGATGAAAACCAATATCACAACGTCCATGCGTGCTATTGTCAACTTTTACTTAACTGATATCTAACCACACGTGCGTGTGCTTGGGGCGAAAGGCAGACTTAAATAAATTTGCTCGTTGCTTGGAGCCCTTAAGAACAAAGAAAAGTGGGTTGTGCTGAAAAGTACAAACGCATTGAAAGAGGCTTTCAGCCTGCTAGATGCTTTTACTTCACACTTAAGATTTTCCTTTAGTGCACTTCATGGAATAAAATCGACTGAAAAAAATGCGTAGAAAAGTCCTTGAGTATAATGTCATCCACTAGAAAGAGACTTCAGTTAAAGGTCAGCATCGGGCAGCCTGTGATTTAGCTTGCAACAGTATTCACCTCTAACTGGTTAAATAGAATAAACTAAATGACTGTTTACAATTTGAGGACGGGTTGGCAAATATTTTAACTGTTTTACTTGTTCAGACAGACGTTTATGCGCACATAAAATATGAAAAAAATGAATGATGATCTTCGGTATTAAAGTTCTTCTCTTGTTCTTCGTCTGACTAGACACATTTTCATTTCATTTACTTGCCAACTTTATCGGGGAATATCTATTGAATCAAGCGGCCTTTTTCCGCTGCCATTTGCCAGTCTGCTATAGAAGATAGACCAGATCCCCGACAAACTCAAATAAGCGGAAACGAGCATTTGCTTTTGATTTTCCTCCTAGTGGATACCAATTTAATTAAGCCTATACGGTGAACTGATCCTTGGAAATTCGGCAGGTATGTCATTTAAATGGATAAAACGTAGATAAAGACCATATCCTACTGCAACCCACCAGCATATTCTAATAACCACTAACTACTCTAGCGATTTAATATTCCTGCATAGATAGCAGCGTGCTCTCCGTATGAGTTTGCTGCTGTCGTGGACTCCTATAATATATTCATGTTTCGTCTGACGCCATCGGATACCGCAAATACTTAACGCAGAAAAAATAATCGAGCCGAAGCAATTTCATGGATGCGTTAACAGAGAATTGGATGCCAGAATATCGTTCCCAAAGCACAGGCAAATACAATGTCTGAGAGAATTCTTCTAGTAAATCATCCCGACAGTTAAAATAAGAGAAAGCATAACAACACAAGCGAGGACAATTTCTGACGTTTTTGCATTCTCACCTAGAGAGCGTTGAATGCTCGGTGTAAATTTTAAGCAGACTTGATAAGACACGATTTGGTAGTATTAATAAATGCTCAGTGACTCTTTGGTCGTCATTTGTACTCTACCACGTAAATAACGAGTGAGAAAAAAATCATTTTGGACGGGGTCAAACATTAAAGTACAATTTGAAGATCTTAGACAATAAAAATCATTCCCAAATGATGTGAAATGCGCATATGAGTCATTCTGACTGAACAACGGTGGCCTTTACGTACAACTCAGCGAATACACAAACAACTGTATAGAAATAAGGCAGGTGTAAAACTTCCATGTTAAAGCCCGATGGAAAACGTACATGATGCAGGATCAAATATATGAATGACAGCTTTTCAAGGAAGAGTCACAATGTTGTTTGTTGAGGTCACTAAACTTTGGTGTTATTGTATGTTTTTTATGTTACTCACATATATGCAACAATCGGGTGCGGAATTTACGGGGGTGCAAATTCATTACATTTAAATGAACTTCATTCCAACTGGACCACGTATAAGCCGAAGCAAACGTTGCGAGTATATAATATTTGGTACTATCCTTATTATTGTAAGTATTAGTGCCTAAAGGTATTTTAACGGAATTTGAAACCAAGTACTTTGAAAGGTCTTTTGTAATCAGTAGGAAGAATAGTGTCCTGCTATTTAACCTTTTTGTACAGTAACATTCTAAAACCAATTTTATTACTTATACATAAATAAACCCTGAATGTAGGGATTGAACGGCCGAAGCAATTTGATGAGGACAACAAAAAATCAAAGTGTACAATTGCCGAAAGGAAATTGCCGTTCGGCACATACACAAGCCACTAAATAATCTAGTGGACCGAATAGCGATTTGTTTGTTATTCTCCCAAAATCTGACCCAACTTAAAGACTGCGTCGGAGACCGTTTAGCCGTTTACTGTGTTAACGCAACCATTTTGTAATTCCCTCCTAGCAGAAGCAGGGACTAATGTGGACAAAAAGGTCTTACAAGACTTTCGGTTTTTAGTACAGTTAGTTAGACTACGCAAATGCCAGTAGCCTGCGACGTCTCTGACTAACATTTGAATACTTGCCAACCATTGGTCCGATTGCGCGTTGTCATTTGCAAAACAGTGCAAACACTCCTATGCGAACTTTGCCGTGAGCGACTATATGTATTTCGAAAATGTTTAAAAAATCATCGTCCATTCACTGTGAATAAAATAAGGCACACAAACAAGATAACACTGGGATATCACCAACTATGCATAATGACCGAACATCGCGGCCGTCAACAACCTGGCGAATCGTCCTTGAATGAGCTGCAAAATGCAGACAAAGGTTACCTTCCTTCAAAAGGGTGCTAAAATCATTATTGTTTTCCGAATAAAAAAGAGGAGTAAAAGCACAAAAAGTAAAACAGTCAACCCAATGTATACCTACGAATAAAACAGAAGGTTCGCGTTCCAGGTATTCCTACTGGTAAAGAAGACATATGATCGAGCACCGGAACGAATTGTATTTTAATCTGAGCT